TGTATATTTATATTATGGAGGTGATGCATCTTGTTATGTGGCTGGTGTTGTGTCACAGGGAGTATTTTCCTCTTCTGATAGCCTCATCAAGTAAGGGGCAGTAGGCAGTGTTCAGCATATCTGCAAGACATCTTTGACAGTATATACCAACCAGACTATACTTTAGGGGGAAGAGACAACACAGGTGTGTGATCCTGCCCTCATATATGGCTAGTGCTTGCTGTAACTATTTGTGGTATCCCAATGCACAGTCTACCAATGTAGAATTTCCTGTTGATGTGATGATTCCTGTTTGATCCAAGTACCTCTCAGGCATCATCCTGCACACAGATTCATATCTCCTGTTTTCTTATCATGGAGTAAAGGAAGAATCTTTGCTTCTCAACTCCCAGGCCATTGGGGAGGTCGATATGGATAGTTCCCCTTCGATTGGTGTAATCCCCCTAGTATGTGTCCAAGTGGATGTATCCTACAATTGCAAATAAGGTTGGGGTGTTACATGGAAGTGTAGTACTGGCCACCCTATTACACTATAAACTAAACCATTCTCTGTGGTTATTCCAGCTTGATGGATCTTGCGTTTTTCTTGGGATGCAGGTCTGGAATAATTCCTTCATGCACCTGCTTATTCTGGTAAATATTTTACAAAAAGTTTCTCTAATACTGTATGACTTGACTTATTGCCCCAGCCACCCTACACTCTCTGTGCTCTGCCCACTGCCTGAAATACAATGATCATTTGAGCAATCTAACATTGTATCCAACTATGTAACACTTCAAAATCATGCACAAGGTTAATTTGAGAGTACCTTTTGTTCCACCACCTTTATTGGGTGAAGAGTATTCCCTACATAAGAAGAATATAGTCTCCCAGTCACCTAGCGGATAAAACACACTGAGTTTTCCCTTTTTGACACTATAATTTCAGAAAAGAACTTCTCAATTTTAATTCATTTATACTGGCCCCTCCACCAAATCATCAAGGTGTAACTCTAGCCTATTTTCCTTTACCTGAAAATGTATTTTCGATAGATACTCACCTCTTCACAGAATATCTCACTTTTTTTTCTCACAGCTGATCTTTTCTTTTGCCTTGTTGCTCCCCAGTAGCATAACAGTATGTCTGCAGACTTACAATGCTAGAAACTTGGTTGCAATACCCATGATGGGCAGAGTACAGATAACCCATGGTGTAGCTTTGTGCTTAACTCTTTTAGCATGGGCTCGGTCCCTGGGACTAACCTCATAACCATTTTGTGCTTGTTATAGTTTTCATGCTATAGCTTTCAAATTGGTAAGCGTATATTAATGAAATTTGGCAGATTATCAGTGAACATTACAATGCTTTCATATGCAAAATATCAAATTTATTTTTTATTAAGTCTTAAGGCTTGTTAAGCAATGTTTTTCTCATGCCTTTTTTTTTCTTTTTGCATGTTGCTTATCCAAC